TCTTTACTAATACAGTACAACACTTCAGAAAACCCTTTCTTTACTGATACAGTATAACGTTTCGGACAACCCTTTCTTTACTGATACAGTATAACGTTTCGGACAACCCTTTCTTTACTGATACAGTATAACGTTTCAGACAACCCTTTCTTTACTGATACAGTATAACGTTTCGGACAACCCTTTCTTTACTGAAACAGTATAACGTTTCGGACAACCCTTTCTTTACTCATACAGTATAACGCTTCGGCCAATCCTTTCTTTACTGATACAGTATAACGCTTCAAACAATCCTTTCTTTACTAATACAGTACAACACTTCAGACAACCCTTTCTTTACTGATACAGTACAACATTTCAGACAACCCTTTCTTTACTGATACAGTATAACACTTCAGACAACTCTTTCTTTACTGATACAGTATAACACAGTAAAGACAACTCTGTCTTTATTGATACAGTATAACACTTCAGACAACCCTTTCTTTACTGATACAGTACAACACTTCAGAGAACCCTGTTTTTACTGATACAGTACAACACTTCAGACAACCCTTTCTTTACTGATACAGTACAACACTTCAGACAACCCTTTCTTTACTGATACAGTACAACACTTCAGACAACCCTTTCTTTACTGATACAGTATAACACTTCAGAGAACCCTTTCTTTACTGATGTAGTATAACACTTCAGACAACCCTTTCTTTACTGATACAGTACAACACTTCAGACAACCCTTTCTTTACTGATACAGTATAACACTTCAGACAACTCTGTCTTTACTGATACAGTACAACACTTCAGACAACCCTTTCTTTACTGATACAGTATAACACTTCAGACAACTCTGTCTTTACTGATACAGTATAACACTTCAGAGAACCCTTTTTTACTGATATAGTAAAATTTATAATTATAATTGCAAAATGGTGTTACTTTATGATGGAAGGTTCTGTAATGAAATCTCCTAGAAGATGTGAACTTCAGAAACTGTCTGTACTTGCAAATTACCTTATTTCAATTGAAATAAAACAAAGTAAGGGCAAGGTGATTGCAACTTGTGATGTACTGTGAACAGCACTATATGTATGTGTGTGTGTGAACTTTATTACCAGTAAAGAGGAATGGTGTCAGTACTATATAAATTGGTGTAAAGGAAAAAATTTTGTGTGTGTGTGAATTTGTAACTTTTTAGAGATGTTTGTGTGTATCTGTTTGAGATAATCCATGAACAAATGTAAAGTGCATGTATATTTTAAGCTTGTTTTACTTTTGGTGGGGTGAGGCAATTTTAATAATTTCTCTTTAGAAATTTATGTGACAGTTGGAACATTTCTTTGTTTGAAATTCATAATTGGTCTTGCTAAATACTGTGTTAGTTGTAATAGAAAAGTATCATTTCTTTGTTTACAAGCTTTGGATTGATATTGCTAGTTACTGTGTAAATGTTACCTGTAACAGGAATGGATCATTTCTTTGTTTACAAGCTTTGAATTTGTCTTGCTAGGTGTTATGTAAATGTTACCTTTAACAAGAAAGGAACATTTCATTGTTTGTAATTTATAATTGATCTTGCTGGATGCTGTGTAATAGAAAAGAAACATATCTTTGTTTACAAGCTATTTAATTGGTCTTGCTGAATGCTGTATTAATGTTATTTGTAAAAGGAAAGGATCATTTTTTTTTCAAGCTTTGGGTTGATCTTGCTAGATGCTGTGTGAATTGAATGTTATTTGTAATAGGAAAAGAACATTTCTTGTTACCTGTAATATGGAAGGAATAATTCTTTGTTTACAAGCTTTGGATTATTTGTGCTACATGTTGTGTAATCATTAACTGTAACAAAAAAGGAACATTTCATTGTTTGCAATTTTTAATTGATCTTGTTAAATGTTGTGTAATTGTTACCTGTAAGAGGAAAGGATATTTTTTTTTTACAAGCTTCGTATTGATTTTTCTAAATGATGTGTAATTGTTACCCGTAACAGGAAAAAAACATTTCTTCGTTTACAAGCTTTTAATTAATTCTGCTGCTAATTATATGAATCTCCACATAACTATCTGTAACAGATAAAAACATGTTTACTCACTTTGCCACTGATGCTACATGTTACCTGGAATCAGTTATAACTGACCGTACAGAACTATCTTGAAAAAAGAGAAAGAATGTAACACCATAACTAGATGCTGTTATACCTTCTGTATAACACTAAAACACATTCCTGACATAGTTTAAAGCAGTGACTACCAGTGTTTACCACATGGATGGATTTTAGTTTTGATTAGTCTTGTCTCCAGATATGTTCCTAAAGGGATAATTACCATTTTATACAATATCTCCACACAGTCTAGCATATCAGTTATTAGTTTTCAAAGAAATACTCTTTTTACATGAGCAGCAACAAGAAAAGGTACATGAAGTTTTCTTTAACCCTAGAATGCCAGTGTGGGATCACCATGACCTGATAGAAGTGAAATATGTGTATCAAACCATGCTGATATTATAGGGTTAAAGAATAATTATTCTGATAAATTTTGTCTTATCAACATCTACCTACAGGAAGGTAGAAAGAGAAATTGAACACTATTGTGAGTTTAGATGCAACACTAAATATCAGCTCTGCATGCAGCCCAGCTTACTAACTTTTCTTATCTAATGAGTTTAGATATGACACTAAATATTAGCTCTGCATGCTGTCCAGCTTAATAACTTGTGTTATCTAATGAATTCAGATACAACACTAAATATCAGCTCAGTGTGTTGTCCAGCTTACTAATTTGTGTTATCTAATGAGTTCAGATATAACACTAAATGTCAGCTCTGCATGCTGTCTAGCTTAATAAATTGTTTTATCTAATGAATTCAGGTATGACACCAAATATCAGCTCTGCATGCTGTCCAGCTTACTAACTTGTGTTATCTAATGAATTCAGGCATGACACTAAATATTAGTTCTGCATGCTGTCCAGATTACTGTACAAACTCGTATTATCTAGTGAGTGCAGATGCACCACCAAATATCAGTTGCTGTCCAAATTATCTGGGTAATTTGTGTTATCTTGGAGCTCAGATCCAATACTGAATATCAATTGCTGTCCAGACTACTGCACTAACTTGTGTTATCTAGCGCCACTCAAGTGAGCTCAAATGCAACATTAAATGTCAATCCTGTATGCTGTCCAAAATAGTATAGTAATTTGTATTATAAAGCTCACAATGAACACACAAGATCACTTATTCATGCTGTCCAGACTATTGTAATAATGTGTTATCTAGTGGGCTCAGATACAACAATAAATGTCAGTTGCTGTCCAGATTACTGCACTAACAGATTTAAATCATCATTATTGAGGAGATTTCAGTGAAAAAAAAACTGCTAATTAAGCCTTCCATTCTCAATTTAATGCTAATACACAACTTTTGTTTTTGATTTAAGCTGAGTGTAGCCGCTTATGTTATTATTTAATGACTAAATTAATATAAACAACATTTTGTACAAGACAGATGCATAGTTTTGAAAATAATGTGTCAAATCATATGTGTGTGTATATTTCTAATTTTTGGAACTGGGAAGCTTACACAAATTATACTTTCTTTTCATTTATGTTGTTAGTGGCATAACTAGTACATCAAATTTATTTGCACAAAATTAGTGTAGCATGTCAAATTTGAAGAATGTCAAATCAGTGGAGAAAGAAAAAGCATGTGTCAAATCATCTTTCCAGATTTTAAGCACTAAACTTTAATTTGTTAAACATGAATAACACATTGGTTGCTTACATTTAGAAGTCTGGCAATCAAATGTATGGCTAATCCACATTCACTTACCACTAATCAGAAGGTGAGAGTACCCATCTGTCAATTGTAGCATTTGTTACTATAAGCTTTTATTTGCATGTTATTTTGTAAGTGACTTTTTATACATGTATCTGTGAGTATTGTTTGTTAGCATGTGTCTACACATTTGAATCAATCTGGTGAATACATGCCTATTTGGTGTGGGTGTATGTGTTAGTATGTCTCCACAACTTTAGGTCTGTCTGGGTGTATACATGCCTGTGTGTGTGTGTGTGTGTGTGTGTGTTAATCTGGTGTTGTATTTAGCATGCGCCTACATGTTTGAATCTGTCTGATAGTTACATGCCTGTGTGTGTGTGTTAATCTGGTGTATTTAGCATGTGCCTACATGTTTGAATCTGTCTGATGGGTACATGCCTGTGTGTGTGTTAATCTGGTGTTGTATTTAGCATGTGCCTACATGTTTGAATCTGTCTGATGGGTACATGCCTGTGTGTGTGTGTGTGTGTTAATCTGGTGTTGTATTTAGCATGTGCCTACATGTTTGAATCTGTCTGATGGGTACATGCCTATCTTTTATGGTTGTGTGTCGATATGTTTGAGTCTGTCTGGGTATATACATGCCTTTGTACCTGGTATGGGTGTGTGTGTGTTAGCATGAGTCCATGTGTTTGAGTCCTTCTAATGCTTCCATGTCTAAGTTTGCTGTAAAAAGTCAACTGAGTTGAAATTAAAATGATCTTACATAAAGTACTGAAGATTTTATTAAATTTCCAATTAGCTTGTAGTTGTGTGATGTGGATGTTCCACATTTTACATATCTACAAAATCTAACACATTTTTCAGAACTTTCTTTCTGTTAGAATGTCATGTTTAGCAAACTAATTACTATCAGTATTCAGAGTAGCTCTTGTAAGAGACTTCTTACACAAGATAGAATGACTGTGATAGTAATGACTAACTTTTAACAGTTTCTGTTTTTTATGTTGAAGTTTTGAATACCTTGGATGCTTGGTTTATGGGACATTAATAGTTTGGTTTCTTTCCGTCAAACCAAATGGTAAAATTGTTTCACTAAACAATCAGCGGAAGTCCTTTCAATTTCAAAATAAGAGGTAGAGGTTTAATTAATTTTGTATTCAGAAATAGAGAGCCTTTAATGTAAAGACATTACCTGTGGATTTTGTTGCATTTCAGGGGATGATCCTACCCATGCTGTAGCTGAGATCTTGTACATGATGGGCCGAGTTCTAGGCTGCGTTTACAAAAATAGTAGAAACTTGGAGTTAACAGGAAATGTGTAAAAATGTCAAAGGTATGAAACCAGTGGGAATCAACATGTCATCAGCATTGTATTTCTGAATGATAGGAAGCATCAGTAGATGTTCATTATTTAAGGTTTCATGTGGGTTTGTTTGAATGAAGCCTATTAATCAATACTTTTGAAAAAACGTTTAAATCTTTACAAAAAAAAATTTCATTATGAGCTGTTCATTTACAGATTGTGCTACATCAGTCATAACTTTTAATTATTCTTTCATTATCTAGAAAGGATATAATTAATTATGTGTATAAATAAGCATTTTAAGCTTCCTTTGCTAAAAGTAATTATATATATAATGATTGTTTTCAGTTGTTTGTGACTACGTTGGAATTGTATTTTTATATTAAATTTTCATAAAGGTGCTCTAGGTGAAATTTTGAGAATGAGAAGCTAATTGCCATTTATAAGTTACATAAGTATTCACTACTGTTGTTTGTTGTGAAAGTAAAAATGTGTAAAAGTAAAAACTTTTCTCAGCAAGTGACTTGTATGTTTGTTCTTGTACTTTTCTTAGATGCCATGGAGACATTGAAAGAATAAAGTATAAAGTTTTGACTAAGAATGATAATTCTACTGCATGTGGTATGCTTTTCTTTTTGTGAAAATATTCAATCTCTTATAAATTACTTGATCAGTTGATTTTTTTTACTAGTGTAACTTTTATCTTTTCTGTAAAGCTTTTTCTGCTTTATGAACATTGTTCAGTGTCTGTATCAGAGATTCACATTTTAGTTTAGAAGGTTCACCCTGTTATGTTCCTCTTTTATACTAGAGGAAATAGTAGTGCTGATGTGAAAAAGGATTATCTGTAATGATTACAAAAAAAAAGGATTATCTGTAATGATTAACAAAAAAAAGGATTATCTGTAATGATTACACAAAAAAAAGATTATCTGTAATGACTACAAACTTAACTGTGTTGTGTTTACTGAAACTTCTGTGTGGCTGCTTGTGTAATTTTAGATTTAGTATTTTTGTCCTGTTTTCTATTTTCTTTATTGCTGAAGCTATTGTAATTCACAGTATATTTCAGAATATTTCCTACCATTAACAACAAATAAAATTATTTCAAACACTTACTTGGTTCTTAAAAGATTATTAACAAAGGAACTTGCATGTGTTATAAGTTTTTGCAGTTTTGGAAATATATACTGATGAGAGGTAAGTTACCATTACAATTTGAATGGAACAGTAACTATTCGTTATTTTTCTAAGTGTGCAAATTAATTTGAAACAAATTTTGAATAAAACACTTGAATGAATAAAAATGAAATTGTGGCTGTTGAATTTCAAAAAATGCCCAAGAAAGCTGTGTGAGTGATTAAGGGTAGTTGTGATGTCACAGAAATCTCGCAAGTGCATGTTTTGTGAAATAGTAATTTAAATCGAACATAAAATTGTACCTATGTTACTAAATAGATGAGCAATTTTTAACAAAAGACCATGACAAAACACAACAATGATGCTCAATAATTCAAAGTTTGTAATGACTAACGACATATTTAATTATAACAGCTGAGTATGCAATGTAAAAGAACATCAAGGTTTGAAAATACAAATATTGTGTTCATAAAAGTTAATTGTCACAAACGTTTTTCTTCTTAGTGTTAGTTGAAAAATACAAAAAGATTTGTTTTACAGAGCACATATTTTTAAACCATAATTTTTATAACAAACATATTTTGGAATAATAATAATTGCATATTGAGTATGAGGATACAGCTGTATTTTATGTACAAGCAGCTAAAAGCAAATCATGGGACATTTTTAGCAAAATACACAAAACAGTATTTGTTTGATTAAAGTATTTTATGAAAAATGTTCTTGGTTTCTAACTGAGGCTTTTGTGAGTGATGTAGTGTATCATGTATAGAAGTACAGATATTGCACACTCAGTAATTTTGTGTATGATAATATTGTCGGCTCTTGAATGTTGTTCCTAACTGCCAGAAGCTTATTAAGATCATGTCAGTAAGATTAACCATTGCCATGTACAAATATGTCCTTTGCCAAAAGTAGTAACTATTCTCATTTTCTTTAAAAAAAATTGTGAATAAATGGGAATTCTTTTCAGTACCACACCAGTAACCCTTTAAATATTTATTACCTTCATTGTTTTGCAGTTTTGATCTGAAAGCAAAAAATTAAGTAACATGAAAGAATCTTTAGAAAACTCCATTAAAAACTAGAAAATTAAAATGTTCACAAAATCAAAAATCATTATATTTTTTAAAACTTGAAATTATCTTAAATAAATGAAGTTCAAAGATTGATACCGCCTGTAGACAACAGATGACATTATTTCAATACAGAGTTACTAAATAGACACTCATTTAAAAAAGGAAATATTTTTGTACTTCTCCCATAAGCTCTAATTTAAGTCAGCTTAATGAGAACAGCTTCTGAAATCTTTGGATAAGGATAATGTACAGTAGAAGCAACATTCATTTAAATGCAAGTAAACTGTTTTATTATTATTACTGTCCTGTTGTTTGTTACATGACAGTTCCACTCACTGAACATGAACTTTTCAACTTAAGAGGTCTGTGGTTAAGTCTGTTGAAATTTGTTTTATCTGCTAGGAGCAGCTTATTGGTAGGAGTCATCGATGGAGAAGTCACAGTAATATTCATAGATTTAATATTAAACTTTGTAAGATCAAATCCATAATAGACTAAAATGGGTTAAGAACTCTTAATCTCCATTGTTGAAATTGAGAAGGGCCGACTTCATTATAAAGGAGCTTCGTTTCCAGAGGATTTATTAAGAGAGGTACTACTGTACTTTGATTTTAATGAGGACCCATAGACTCCAGTTTGGTAAACATTGTTCTTTTATTATTATTATTATTATCATCCTGACTAGATTACAATGAGCTATATACACGTCTTTTTTCATGAATCAAACAAATTCTTTAGTTTTGGGTTTATAAGTGATATTAAGCAATTTTTCAGAAATTTTCTTTAGTAAAATATTTGTTAAAACTTTTTTATTATTTTAGATGGTTTTCTTACTACAAACAAACCCTGACTGACAAAGTCTAATTAAAATGTTTGTTTTTCTTGTGTTCAGCTAACTACCCTGATTGTTAAACTGGTTTAATGAAATACGTGAACTTGTACTACCACTGGTTTTTTATCCGTAACATATTTATTATAATAGGTTCAAGACCCTCTAAACATCAGAGTAGAAGATCATAGAATTATCTTTTACAAGAATATTTATTTTAATTTATAAATATTAATCTCCATTAGTAAATATTTAACTGTCTTGTTACTGGTTTTTGGGAAACATATTTTGGTCTTTTTTATTGTTGTTTGAAATTTAGAACATTTTATGTGAAGATGGGTCATTTTTACATCAAAAGTTATAAATCTAGTGGTCAAAAGAAATAAGTTATTAAACATTATTCTGATTCATTACTTACTGATGTATAGTTGCTTTAGTGTCACATCAAAGTTACTTTCATCACCTTATATTGTAGTCAAAATTAAAAAAGATTGATTAATACACATAACTAGTCTGAGAACTGAATATGGAAAAACACAAGAGCCACACATGTACCACAGATGGAAATGTCTCTTAAAAGAAAGTAATAGGATTGGTAACTACTTTTGCTATGTAAGAACATGCAATTCAAAGGACCTAATGAACTTAGATTAAATATGTGGTATTTCTCTATGTTATTCCTAAAATTTAATTGGATGAAAATATACATTTATTTTTACATTGTGTTAGATTTGTATATTGGTTGATTAGGTTTTGAAAAATTGTTGCAATATAACAATTTGTTGAGCATGTGCTGAATTTTTATGGATGTATTTTTGGAGCACATATAATAGCCAAGTATTATTATTGTATTATTTTTTTAACATTGTGAATGACATGCTTTAAGAAGCCTGGAAATTGATTTGAACTCTGTAGGTTTGAAAGTTGGAGTTGTCATAACTACTTTCTTACTATAATAATTATTATAAACAGTAAATATTCTTTGTATGTCATTTAAACATGGATGTATTAATGTAAAAAGAAATTTACAGGCTGAAGTACCACATTAAAATATGTGATTTTATGCCTACAAGTTTTCAAGCTCTTTAGAGCTCTTCAATTAGTGTTGTACTTCCACCTGAGAAAGAGCTAGCTTAAGATCTGGAAATATTGTAGGTTGATAAGATTAGGTATTATAATAAACAGTAGTTTAGAATGATAATAGCTGCATATGCATTAATGTTTTTTTACAGTTTTTTCCCATTCCTTCTTAAGCTGGTGTTAATATTTCTAGATCTTCATTTCACTATGTTAATGTGACTCTCACTCGCAATTCAAAATAGTTTATTCTTGTGCTAATCTTTTTTTCTTTTTTCAAATAATACATTTCTTGTTTATCTTTTTTCAGGTTAGTTATTGGTTTGATTGCATTATCATTGTTAATCTAAATTTTTAAGGGTTTAGTACAGAGATTCTCAGTGATAATATCCACAGTTCAGTAACATTTAGATTTTGTAAAGTATTGGATGCTGAATGAAGATAAGAAATTTTTTGTTTATCACATACTTTAAATCCTTTGGTTTGTCTTTATTTGTCCAATTTTTCCCAGAATGAATCTCTTTCAGTCTTTAGAAGCTGTTTTTTTTTCATGATAATTACATTTTTTACAGCCACTCTGTCATCTTGATACTTTTACCAAAGAATAATTAGTCATTGAGACAAGTAAAAATTTTTACTTAGGTAAAATTATACTCATAGTTTAGTTTTGTTTTTTAGTTTATATTTTAGAAATGTGAAAGTGTCACTCACTGAAGACTTGTGTTTCTTTGAAACTGTCATAGGCTTTCTTTCAGGTAGAGCTGTAGCTAGTCATAAATCTGGTAGAAAACTCTGAGTAAGCAAAATATTCATTGTGATATGTAATAAAGATTTTTAATTTAAAGCTGTGGCATTCATTGACATCACTAGTACAATTTTTTAAATTTCTATCCTTTTACGAAGATTCTAAAAAAAATCATTTTTATCATATGTGTTGTGAATTAGATATGAAAAACCTTTAGTTAATTTACTTGTATTAAACATTTAAATTTTATGATGGATAAATATTCCGAGTAGTAATGTTTTTTCTTTCAATCCTAATGTGATTGATTAGCAGAAATTAACAATATTTGTATTCCATAATCTTAAATAATAAAGTTCAATAACTTTCTATTAGCAAACTAATTGATGTTCTTCTAGTCTTAATTAGAATGAAGAGATAAATTGAATGCTTGTTTTTCCATTTTCAAATCTTAGTGGTTTTTTTAGTAACTGCATTGTCTGAATACTAGTTACAATTAAAATAAAAAGTTGTTTTAAGTTTAAACTAAAATTTCCAGTAATTTACTGTGATCCATTTTATGAATACTGATCACAAGTAATGCATTTGCTCTCATAATTTGTTGATCCATGAATTGCTTTTTACTTTGACTTATTTGTGTGTAGCAACTATGCTATGTGAGGTGAATTTTCTTAAATAGTATGTTCATTTTTTGTGTACCATGCTTTAAAATATGGATAAAGACTAATGGTACATTTGGATTTTTTAATTTTATTTACAGACTAATTTGTTAATAATTTGATCATGTACTATTTATTTTTACTGAGGTTAATAATTTGTCATTAATAAAATAAACATTACATAATAGTTTGAATTATTTTGAATGATTCAGTTTTAGCAGTTTTTTTGACAACTCAAGTGATAGTTTTAACACTAATTGGACAAAATATAATTCTTATGTCTGTAAAACTCAAACATAGTAACTTTAATTCATCACATTTAACAGAATTAGTAAGTTTAAATATTTTTCATGTTGAATATTATTAGGAAAGTGGGTATAGTGTGTAGTAATAATAATGCATAATCAGAGTTAATCATTTTATCAGCCCTGCAGTTCTGCCAAATGGTACTAGATTCCATACCACAGTTAATCAATTTCATCAGCCCTGCAGTTCTGCCAAATGGTACTAGATTCCATACCACAGTTAATCTACGATGACTTCTATTTGATGATTTTGCTTTAAACCCATTAACTGTCATTGTTCCCACTGGGAACAAATTTTGGATTACAATTTCTACCCATATAAAAATATATTGATAGATAACATGTTGTGACATGGAATCTAGTATCATTTGGAAGAGCTACAAAACTGTAAAACGTTCTATTTGACCTTTTGTATATTCAATGTATAGAAAACATTTATACAACACTATTGTATTGTAGTTTACTGGTATCTCTATGGGGAACTCAGGGTTTGTTTGTTATTAATCGCACAGCGTTATAAACCCCCAGACTTACAGCTAACCCATCGTGTGTGTGTGTGATCTCAGTAAATAAACGTACATGAAGAATGCGTTTGAACATTTCACAAACAGTAGCATTTATATATGTGTGTGTTTGTATACATTTCATGCAATAATATATATGCACACACTTGTGTAATATTTGCTAAGTTTGAAAGCTTTGTTTATATAATCACGTTTATTACGAAATTATATGATGAAACTCATCTATATAGACATGCTCACCCTTTTAGTCGTGGGTGCATCATAATGTCACTGTCAATCCTACTATTCGTTAGTAAAGATTAACCCCAAGAGTTGGCGATGGGTGGTGTTGACAAGCTACCTTCCCTCTAGTCTATCGCTTGGAAATTAGGGACGGCTAGAGCAGATAGCTCTCGAGTGGCCTTGCTAATATCCGAAATGTTTTCTTTGTGTTAAGAAGTTTTTAAACCGTTAAAGTTTGCTCTTTTATAAAAAAAATCAATAGCATTAAAACACACATAAGTCGTTTCAATATCATCTTATTGTTTGTCACATTTAACATGCAGAGATTCTACATTAATCTACATTCCACATCGTAACTATAACCTTTCGCGTTCAGGTACGTCGCACACAAGTAGCCATATGTCAAATACACAGAAACCGAGGCAATACTTGCTCTGCGAGACACACACATACAAAAAAAAACAAGAAAAATAGATAATTCAAGTTTTCTGTTATCATGCGTTCTCAAATCAGTGTTCTCAGTAATTCAAATCGCACGTAAGTTAATTCGATGTTAATAAGTGTTATTACAAACAAAGATGGCAACATAGCGATTTTCACAGAACTGAGATAAAGCTGCCAAAAAAACGAGTTTTTCGACGCCGGAAGTGAACGTCTAAGTCACAGGATGTTTCTATCAATCTCGGAGTAAATATACGTGTCCAGCAATCGTTCTAGCCGTCCGTCTTCCCAGCTGATCCAGAGAAAATATGGAATCAAAAATAACACAGCCAGAAAGAAGAGGGTAGCCACGTACCATTTGTCACCATGATATGGCTTTAACGCTTCAGGATCTGAAGCGTTCACTGAAACTTTGACTCCCTCAATACTACAGTACTGTGCTATAAACTCTGATGACATATGAGCATTTCCAATAGAGCTCATGGGTTTCGAAGCAGTAGAAATTAAAAACGCACATAACCCACACAGCAACAGAAACAGGAAAGTTAACTTACAGTGTAACAGAAAAACAACGTTGATTGTCTTAACAGAGCTGAAGTTCAACATCTTCCATATGGTCTTTCGTGACCCCATCGTAAACACTACGACAAGAACAGTAAGAAATACGTCTATCTGTCCACTATATTTACCAAAGGTTACAGAAAGTTGCGACATTTCTCTGTGAGGAAACTTGGAAACCATTTGCGGGACATTTTAGGCTCTGGAGGATCTCACCATTTGTATTTTTATATATATTTTCTCTGTGAATTACTGAACTTTGTTGTGTCATTGTCTCAGCTTATTGTTGTCAGTGGTTTAATTGGAGGAATTTCTTCAGCTATTGAAGATGTTACTAGCTCTGTCTCTGAAGAGGTTGAGGGAAAAGACCCTGTATTAGCACTAATAAAATCAGCACCTTTCCCTAGAGCAGGAAAATGCATTATATACTCGCATGGCGCATCTGGTGGTGTGATTAGATTTGACAACTTGTGTCTTTTACCGGCAAATGTCAGGATTCAAGAAATATATATCGTTGTGTATGTGTGGTTTTTAATTCTCACATTATTGTCGTTCCTGGTTCTCCTGTACCGCCTGATGACTATACTTATACCACCTTTTCGACTGGCAATTTTACAGTTCAATGTTCCTGGACTTCCGTGGTCCCAGGCTTCTGTTGTTAATCGTACTGTAAGTGATTGGTATCTGATACGGAGATTGTTTCAAAACATGGCCGAAGATGATTTCAGAGATCTGCTCAAAAACATAACGCTAGAAAATGTGTTTGAAATGAAAAGTTCTAACTGAGCTGCACTGATATCCAGACCTTCCTAATGTTTGAAACGTAATGAAAACTTCCTGGGCTATATCAGTATCTCCAAACCTTTGAAGCAAAAGATACCTATACTGAAAATGTTTCAGCCACACCAATATCCATGATGGTTGAAACATACCTTACAGAATGTGCTTACAAGTCACGCAATTTTATTCTGATAGTTAAATTTTGTGTTGTTTTTTTTTCACTTTAATAATAAAAAGTTACTGATCCTTGATAATATTCTATATGTTTTATCTAGATTCTCGTTTGAGGAATTAATATCCTCCAGTTTTTTAATTTTATTCATACATATAATCTATGTTTATGAAAATCATCTATGGAACTGTTTTTAGGTTACATATATATATATATGTTTATATACTAGACACGTTACTTCAGATCTATTTATCTACTACCTTTTTTATAGTTTATAGCTGATGGTTTGTACCTATAATTCTTGAAATAAACTAGTTTTACTAATAGTTAGTCGTTGCTTGCGTCACGTTTAATTTCACAGTGCTAAAGTGTCTACGCCTATGGGATCAAACAAGCAGTCACACTATCTCAGGAAGTTGTGGACGAGGCGTGGCTTAGCAGCACCATGTGTAATCTCGACACAAAAACTTGTAAAAAAAAAAATGAGGTCAGGCGCGTCGAAACCGAGGGTGTTGTAGCACCTCTACTTTTACATATTTGACTTGTATAGCACGGGGGCTGCTTTTAGTAACTTCTTATACTTTCAATCTATCATTGTAAAATTTGCATGTCTAGCCAAACACCCCCACTTTATAACTCCTTCCCACACGACTGGAGTGTACTAACATAACAGAATAAGAGTAGTAAGTGTATAATATAATAATAGCCAGTTGTCTTTTTGTAAAGCAGCAACAAAACAATATGTATATATATAATGGTTGGAGGCGGCTCGAATGGGTAATGAAGAAAAACTTTAATATAATGTTGCGTCATCTAGGTCACGTGACTGGTGTGGCGCCCTCTAGTTTCTAGAACTATCTTGTTCTTCCATGAATGCTCTAGTATTTACTAGATAGGGTAGTCGGGTATATATAAGAGGGGACAACGTGACGAAGGTAATGTAGTGTGTGTATAGACAGGGAGTAATTGAACTGCAGTCAGAGAGCACGAGAGACGTTACAGCGTTTGTTTAGTGCGATTGTTGAAGTTGAGTGTATCGGTAAAGTTGTATTCGGAAAGAATAAACCAGTTTTATTAAGTAAGGACTTGTGTCGCTAAAGTTTCGTTGGAACGAAGTTACGGAAAGTTAATTAACAAACGGAAACGTAACAATAAGTTTAACACAACAGCAAATGTACAAGGTTTTGTCATCATCACGTACAAGTAATTTACACTGACACGGATATATATATATACAGTATTGAAAAAAGAAGACACAGGGCTTAAGCTAGACACCTTCTCCCAAGCAGGGTGCAAAACAGTTGCTTGTAGAAAATCAATTATTGGCTTCAAATCTTGGTAATTCTCCTGCTCTATTTTAATATCTATACCTGGTTCCCCTTCACCATCATCAACTCTTTCAGTCACTTTGACTTCCACTTGATGATACCTGGTTAGTTCAACCTCTCTTTTTCAGCAATGTTTGCAGTCATTTTTGCAGGGTCTTCGGCTCAGTCAGTTGGCATTTCCATGAGATTTTCCTTCTCTGTATTCAATATCATAATTATACTGGTCTATCTATCTGATCCAACATGTCAGTTGTCCCTCTGGGTTTTTTAACCCGATGACTACCGGTTGTTACGTCTCTGTTTGTTAATTGATTTCCCGTAAATTCGTTCCAACGAAACTTTAGCGACACAAGTCCTTTCTTAAATAAAATGGTTTATTCTTTCCGAATACAACTTTACCGATACACTTAATTTCAACAGTCACTCTATAACAAACGCTAGAACGTCTCACATGCTCGTGCTCGACAATACTCAGTTCAATTACACACTTTCTGACTGCAGTTCAATTACTCATTACCTCTCCGTCGCTTCGTGGCTGGTCTTATATATATATATATATATATATATAC